TACTAATACTTAATAACATAAGATGCTAACTGTTGTTTAAGGTTAGCTGCTTAGGACAACATATTTGGTTTTCAGCAGAAAAAAATACAGTTTTGAAGATTGAAATTCTGTAATTATTCAGTATTGCATTAGGCTACTTCTCAACAATAATTATATTGCTTATTAAATAACCATTGTGAGGCATAGAATAATGAATGTTAGATAATGATAACATTGATGGATGATGTTTCCAAGGTTTTAGTGTGGTATTTTATTGTAAATAATCAGGTCTCTCTTGTAAACGAATCCCAAGGCCCAGTGGGATTAACCTGTATAAATTAAGGTTGAATGAATGAATGAAAAAGTAGTTTTGAAGTTCAGATTTTCTTAAGTGTTCTTCTGTTTGTGCAATTTAAAAATGCCTTATTTTAATTGTGTTCATTTTCTACAGTATTTACTTTTTATATTTGTATTGTATACTTTTAAATTCATGGTATATAATATTTATGTCTCACTCTGTGTGTTTATAGTGTTGTTTCATTTTCATGTTTTTGAATAACATTCAAAGAAAGTTTGGGAGTGTGTGATGGTACATGGTAATCTAAATGATACGGTATGCACCCATGGGTGGGCTGGGGGGTTGAGGTGGGTGATGTGGGCTTGGGAGATGTGGGTGGGGACACTAGTGGGGTTGTTCACCCAGGGCACCAAACAGGCTAGGACCGCCCCTGAGTACAGTACAATATATTTTATTGCAAGTGCAGTATTTTGAATATAACTAAATCATTCATTCATTCATCCACAACAGCAGTTGATTTGACAACTTGTAAAAAACAATAAGGCAATCATGAATTTGATGGAAGCAACACATCAAACTCATACCGACCCTATTTTATTGTAAAATATGTACATTTTTTAAACATTTCAACTATTTACCATAATCAATTTGAAATAATATGTGGGTTTATGATATGGTTTTTTTTTTTCTTTTTATATTTAACACTATGTCATAACATTTTTGGGGAATTGGGGTCATACGAGCAACACATTTTTTTTTTCAGGCTACAACTCTGATTAAATACCAACACATACCATTCACAACAATATAGATGTTTTTAATTACTGAAGCAAATCAAACGTCTTCAGTTTTCATGTTCAGTTTGGTTAATTTGACAACAAAGTTCCATATTCTGCCACTAGATGTCACTATAGCTGTTAGGTTGGCCCACCGATTTATTTGCCCACGTGCTATAATTTGAGATCAAATGTTTACAAAATCCTCAAATATGTGTTTTTTGAAATTTCATTGAATTAAAGACCAGCTTGACTGTAATTTCTAAAGCACACAAGTTTAGCTGCTAATTCTGAAATGCTAAAATACCTCATTTTCTATATTCGCAAGAACAAATGCAGAATAATAAAGTTTATCATGATTGTGGGAAAACACAGATAGGATAAAAGGAGAGAAAGGTTGTAATTACCCATAAACTTTGCTCCACAAGCCTGACATGTATGGACGGCATAAATCAAGTCGCTTGTCTTCATTCTCATATGGCTCACACAGTGGGACTTTTAAATCAATGTCACATCCAGATGGCATGTTATGTAACATTAAGTAGAAGTGAAAAAGGGGGGAGGTGCAGAGAGTTTCATTCACTCTGTCAAAAGCAGCTTATTCACAGATTGCTGCTGTTATTTAACATTATTATTATTGACCATCAGCCCTGAAGATCCCACAGGATGAACAAAACCCAACTCGAATGCTGCTCTGAAAATTCATTCCCACAGGAAAAGTGGCTCCACAGAAAACATCTCTTGCTAAATTAAAAGCTATTTGACTGAAGGGAGGCATGTCTCCCAAAGCTTTTCATACCAGAGTTTTGGACTAAGATCATCTTATTGTTCAAAAATGATGCAGTTGTAGTCGTTTTGGTCAAACCTCGGAAATATGCGATCTCATGACTCTGACAGATAATGTTAAAGTTTTAAGCCAAACATTTTGGTTGTGTGGTGCTCAGCTATTATGATAAACATTAGCCCAACTTCTGTACTTAGGGAATAAAAAACAGTAGCATTGAAGATCAAACTTCTACCAGGACATCACTTTTACATTCCCTTTTAGAGAAGACGTCACTTTTTGTTTTTCTCAGAGACTAAACAGTTTATATATATATATTCCCCACACATTTTCAGTGGCATCCATTATCCCTGTCCTTGTATACGTTTGACAAGAATGCACATGTGTGTTTGTGTTTTGCGTCAATGCCCGTAAATAATCTTTGCAGGCGGGGCCTGAAACACAATGAGCGAAAGGGAAGTTTCATTCAACAGACAATAATCGGATGCAAAGATCCCTAAAGATCCCTGAAGGAGTCTGTCTCCATCTCCTCTCTGTATCCTTTCAGCAGTGTCTGAGTTTGTTTGGAAACTAAGTGCACCTTGAAATGCTTCTCACCTTTGTAGATTTCTTACAGCTTGATACCCTGCAGCCCCAAAAGATAACATATGCTTCACAAAACATCATCATTTTCTTACAGAGAATGAAACACACAAGAACTCCTACTCCTAAACACATAAATACATAAATATGAGGGAGTGAGTCAAGGACAGATTGTTCACTGAATAGAAAGAAGGATTTCATGTGCTGGGAGACCTTACTACGTTTACAGCTTTGTAAGAGGAACAACTGAAATGGCGAAAAGTGATTTAGAGCACATCCTGACTTTTACAATATTTGTTCAGATCCAGCAAAAGTTGGTAGCAGCAATTAGGCGCCTCGTGATGCTTGGAGGCCAGATTATACTTATATTGTTTATCCTTCATAAAGCCGACATCATTTCTTACATTCGTAACGGCCATAATTACAGCTGAGGGAAACTGTACTGGTTTACCGCAGGAGGACGTTTTAAAGTGTGTTTTTCTTGCTCAAACCACCATGGAGGCTTGTTTTCTGATAGGAAAACAGATAGGCTTTGTGTTTGCATTTTTTAGAAGCTGCAGTGAAATGGCACACACACACGTGATTTGTCTTGGATGGAAATTGCGTTGCCATTCATTTCCTGGAGAGTTACGATAATCCCGTGTAACCTGATCCCTTATTGTGACACATTTTAGTAACATCAGTAATATCTATGCAACACAGCCATATTTATTTCCTGAATGCTAACTCTGAGGCAACCTGTTTGTACTTTGGCCTAAACCTTTAACTTTTAAGGCCCCTGGATAAGGATGGCATTTACTAGATTGCAATCACAAGATGATTTATGGTTTAAAAAAAAACATCTGATATGTCAAGTTGCTTTATCTTCACCTTAAAAAATAGTCAGGTCTCAAAATATAATTTTTATCTTTATGGGAAACTGCTTCTTGTCCTCCTAAAGGAAGAGAAATGGACAGATTACTATCAGACACATGCAAGAAGGCCCAATGGGGTTTCTGCTTGAACAACATCAAAATATGTCATGATAGATATTCCAGAAAGGGAAATAAAATAAGATGCAAAAGAACTGAAAAAGTTAGTAAATTCACCACGATGACTGAAATAATATGCAAAAATATAGAAACAAGTTTATCCAACTAGAGACGTGAGTGTCGACTATGTGATGACTTTGCTTAAATGTGCAGAAGGAGCTAAAACTGAGTTATTTTTCAGCTAAAAGATGCAGAGCACTATAAGCTAAAATGTACAAGTTGTCTTCTTAAGCTAAAGATAAAATAAGAAGGCAAAAAATGAGAAAGTATGCAAAAGCAGATAGGCTAAAAGATACAAAAGCAAGGTAAAACAGTAAAATGTTAATTAAAAGCTAAACAAGGCAAAGAGCAAGCTTAAAATATTAAATGGCTATAGGAGCCAAAAGTAGCAAAATACCAGCTAAAAGCAATAGAATGTTATCGAAACACTAAAATAAGCAAAATGTTAACTAAAAGTAGCAAAAATGTAGCTAAAAATAATTTTAAAAGCTAACAAAAGACTAAATGTATCAAAAGTTGAAAGATAAAATCATAAAAGTTCATTTGAAAATAGCAAAAATGTTAACTAAAAGTATTTAAAGACTAGCTAACAGTAGCAGGACACTAGCTGAAAGTGACAGAATGCTTGCTAAAATGGTGAAAAGTAGCTAAAATTAAAAATAGCAAAGGGCTAATTGATAGCTAAGCATAAGCTATTTGCTATTGTTAGCAAATAGCTAACTTAAGCTGTCAAAAGGCTACATAAAAGCTAAAAACTACAGACAAGTAAAAGCTAAAAGTAGCACTGCAGTATAGTTTAAAAACAAATATATTCTGTTTGCATTTAGAAAATGTGATTTGGATGACTCTCAGCTACTACCACACCAAATGTGAGCTCAACGTGAAA